CTCAAATACAATCCCCCACACTAAGCATGCTTGTAGCGACAGTGGAGAGGAAAAACTCCCTTTTAACAGGAAGAAACCTCCAGCAGAACCAGGCTCAGTGTGAGCGGCCATCTGCCGAGGCCGACTGGGGTTCAAGGAGACAGAAGCAGAGATACAAAAAGCAGCTGTAAAAGGCGGCCCCGTCCAGGAAACACACAGCCAGGCAGACGAGCTCCAAGGCAGCTCCCATGCCAGAGGACGAAGAGAGCACATCCACTCAGTCACGGTCAGAGAAACAGGACCACACTGGAAAACAGGCCGATCTCCAACATCTATTAACAAGGGTGTTGATAGAAGCAGCACAGCTGATGTTTTTTTCCAGGATGACGTCACAGCCAAACAGGAACAGACGAGGCAAAGCTACTCTGAGGAAAAGCAGAGAGAGCAGAAGGTTAGAGATTGAACTAACAGATTCTGCAGAATAGGAGAACAGAGAGAAAATGAAGCAGAATGATGAAATGGGGGTCCCTATGTCCTCCAAAAGTCTAAGCCTATAGCAGCATAACTATAGAGATAGCTCAGGATAACCTGAGCCACCCTAACTATAAGCTTTATCAAAAATGAAAGTTTTAAGCCTAGCCTTAAAAGTAGACAGGGTGTCTGCCTCACGGACTAAAACTGGTAGTTGGTTCCACAGGAGAGGAGCCTGATAACTAAAAGATCTGCCTCCCATTCTACTTTTAGAAATTCTAGGAACCACTAGTAAACCTGCAGATTGAGAGCGAAGTGCTCTGTTAGGAACATAAGGAACAATCAGATCTCTGATATAAGATGGAGCTTGGCCATTTAAGGCTTTATATGTGAGAAGGAGGATTTTAAATTCTATTCTTGATTTAACAGGAAGCCAATGAAGAGAAGCCAGGATAGGAGAGATATGATCTCTCTTTTTCATTTTCATTAGAACTCTGGCTGCAGCATTTTGGATCAGCTGAAGGCTTTTAACTACAGTTTGTGGACTTCCTGATAGTAAAGAATTACAATAGTCCAGCCTTGAAGTAACAAATGCATGGACTAGTTTCTCAGCATCACCCCTGGACAGGATATTTCTAATTTTTGCAATGTTCCTCAGATGAAAGAAGGAAATTCTAGAAACCTCTTTGATATGGGATTTAAATGACAGGTCCTGATCAAAAATAACACCAAGATTTTTTACTTTATTATCTGAAATCAGTTTAATCCCATCCAAATGAAGTGACTGGCTAATCAGTTTCTTTTTCAGAGACTCTGGTCCAAAGACTATAACTTCTGTTTTGTCTGCATTCAGAAGCAGAAAGTTAAGAGTCATCCAGGTTTTTATGTCTTCAAGACATGCCTGTAATCTATGTAATGGGTTAGCTTCATCTGGATTTATAGACAGATATAGCTGGGTATCATCAGCATAACAGTGGAAATTAATCCCATGCTGTCTAATAATTCTACCAATTGGGAGCATGTATAAAGTAAAGAGAATTGGTCCTAGCACTGATCCCTGTGGTACTCCACAGGTAACCTTTGAGCGTGTTGAAGATCTATCATTAACATGAACAAACTGAATTCGATCAGATAGATAAGATTTAAACCAGTCTAGTGCTGTTCCTTTAATTCCAACAAAATATTCAAGTCTTTCTAAAAGAATATTATGGTCAACTGTATCAAATGCAGCACTAAGATCCAACAGGACGAGCACAGATACAAGTCCATTATCTGAGGCCATGAGAATATCATTAGTGACTTTCACCAGAGCTGTTTCAGTGCTATGATGAGCTCTAAAGCCAGACTGAAACTCTTCAAAAAGTTCATTATGGTGGAAGTGATCGCAAACTTGTTTGGCAACTACTTTCTCAAGAATTTTGGATAAGAAAGGAAGATTGGATATAGGTCTATAATTGACCAAGTCATCTGGGTCAAGAGACGGTTTCTTAAGCAGAGGTTTAATTACAGCAATCTTAAAAGCTTTAGGTACATATCCCTGTAACAGAGATAGATTAATCACATCTAAAATGGAGGAGGAGATCAAAGGGAATACCTCCTTAAATAACCTGGTTGGAACTGGATCTAACATACAAGTTGAAGGCTTAGATGAAGACAATAATTTTGCTAATTCAGAGAGTTCAACTGGATCAAAGCAGTCTAAACCCGGTTCAGATTCCATGACTACCTCAGGTACAATCGCGGATCGAGGAGTGCTTATGATCTTTTTTTTAATAAGATCAATCTTATTTATAAAGAATCCCATAAAATCATTGCTGCTAAGAGCAGGTGGAATGGTCTTAATTAGATTATCATGATTTACTCCTTTGGGAATCTTTGCTAATTTATTAGATTTTGGTCGTGGGCAAGACACTGTCTGGATGGAGTAAAGAGTGGGTAACAGTAGAGAAGCTGCAGAGATGTGTGTTAAACTACAACTCTGCTTCCTGGTCTGCACCCTGGGTGGTCAGGGTTTTGGAGGACTAATAAATGTGGCCAGATTCCTAGAAAGAAGAGCTGCACCATCCAAAGTGGGATGGATGCCGTCTCTCCGAATCAGACCAGGCTTTCCCCAAAAGGATTGCCAATTATTAATGTAGCCCACGTTGTTTTCAGGGCACCACCTAGACAACCAGCGGTTGAATGACGACATGCGGCTAAACATGTCATCACTGGTCAGATCAGGGAGGGGACCAGAGAAAATTACGGAGTCCGACATTTTTTTGGTTAACTGTCCACTGTATCGGAGTGTTAGGTGGGAGGTTACCTTTCTTCCTGGTTTTGGGCCTGACCTTGCCACTCTCTTGATCTGATGTTGATAGCAGCTGGTAGAGCGGCTGGGCTATTCTGGAGAAGTTTGGGATGTATGTTCGGTAGTATGAAAGGAATCCCATCATTTTTCGCAGTTCTCCCACTGTTTTGGGTGCTTTCTCCTTTAGGGCTTGGACTGGGGCAACCTCAGAGGGGTCCATAGTGTACCCCTGTCCAGATACTAGTCGCCCCAAAAATCTCACCTTCCGCTTTAACACTTCACACTTACGGGGACTGAGCTTCACCCCATGCTCCTGGTATCTCCGTAATACAGTTCTCAGGTGCTCAATGTGGTCCTCAAAACTTGAGCTATGGACCAGATTGTCATCAAGATAGGGTTGACACATTACATCTCTCAAGCCACGCAAACAGTCTTCCATGTTTCTCTGGAATTCTGCAGGTGCTGCACTTAACCCGAACGGGATTCGGATCCACTGGTACAGGCCCCAGGGAGTTATGAAAGCTGTCAGGGGCTGGCTTTCCTCATCCAAGAACCCCTGATGGTAGGCCTTCCCCTGGTCTAGTACAGAGAACCAGGAGCTGCCAGTGAGGGAATCAAGCATGTCTTGTATTCGGGGTATAGGGTGGCGATCAGGGACTGACTTTTTGTTCAGCTCCCTGTAATCACAACAAAGTCTTAATGTTCCATCCTTTTTCCGCACACACACGACTGGTGAGGCATACGGAGAGCGTGAAGGAGTAATCCAACCTCGATTCAATAAGTCTTGGATATATTCTTTTACCTCCTGGTGTAGTGGCTTCGGAACCGACATGTAAGTTTTTCTTACTGGGGTCGTGTCATGCAGTGTGATGTGGAGTTTCAGTGAGGGGATTGAGCCAATGTCATCATCGTCATATGCAAATGCATGACACTCCTCTCTCAGCAGCTGTTTGGCGATCCTACTTTGCTCCTCATTTAGGTGACTGAGGTCGACGGGAGGGTCCCACCAGGCCGGTTTTGATTTCTGGGAATTGTCACTGCCTGGTGCTGATGCTGTTGGTGATGTTGGCTTTACTTTCTCCCCTTTATTGATTTGCTCAATACTGGCAGCATAGGCAGTCTTCACTGTCTGTAGATGACCCAAAATGGTGCGCTGGGTCAGAGTTACACTGTGTTTGTTTGTATTAGCAATGGGAACTGGTACATAACCTGACCTTTTCCACGGGGCACTGACTAGACCCTCCTCTATCATTACACCCTCTGGTAATGTCTGATCTTCGTTTGGAACTAGCAGCAGGTCTTGGCCATGATATTGAGCCCCAGTATTGATGATAACATACACTGTGGTGACCTGTTCAGCGCCTAAAGTGAGTGTTCTATTTCCTGTGTGCACAATTCCTATATCTTCTTCATATGACGGGGCATGGATAAGCTGTAGCACTGCTTGTGCCGTCTTGACCGTTATTTGAAAAGCTTGACTCACAGTATGAGTGGTCTCTGTCTGTGTTGTCTGATTCTTCTCCCCTGTTATTTCCTCTATCACATTATAGCCAATTATAGGCTCTACTGCTACATGGGGGTCACTTGACACTAGAATTGGTACTAGAAGTGGTTTGGTCAGGGTGGAGTCCTTACCTAGCCTAAATTCTGCTTCCACCCAGCCCATGAAGGGGATCTCAGTCTGGTTGGCGGCCACTCCCAATACAATATCTGAGCCCAACAGCTCACTGAGAGGTCGCACTGTGCTGTGTGGTAAATGTTGCTTTCTCCATTCGTCATTAATGATGGTTGCCTGAGCACCTGAGTCCCATAATGCTACCACTGGAACTGTATCTAATGTGCAATGGACAGTGTGTCTCTTTGCAATTAACTTGATGAGTCTTTCCTTGCGTCGTGGTGGAAGATAGTTAACTGACGAGATTTGAGGTGGTGCATAGGGGAGGGCAGGTTGCGGTATGGTGAGACGTGATGATTCATGGGCTACCGGGGGTCTCGGCTCGGCAGCCCCCTCTCGTTTCCCTGCTGCTCCTTAGGCCGTCGACATCCTCTAGACAGATGCCCCTCTTGCCCACACCTAAAGCAATGTCTGCAGGCGTCCCCCATCTGAGCTTCCTGACATGCCCTACAACCTCTGAGCCGAGTACGGCCGGGTGTGAATGGTCTCTCTGTTAGTCTAACTTGTGTAGCCTCCACTGTCTGTAACACCAACTTCTTAATTTCTAGCACCTCAGCCTTTAGCGCTTCTAATGAGTCTACCTCCGTTTTGGGTCCTTGACTTTTCTTACTTCTTCCCCCTTGTTCACGAGTAACACTATCTACTGCTGTCTCTGAGGTTTCTGATGGATGCACTTCTGCCTGCACTTCACTGATTTTTGGGGACTTGCTCACAACTGTCTTCCTCAATTTTTGTTGTCTCTCTTGTTCTAAGTTTGTTGCCTCATTGATCCGTTCAATTAACACCTCATCTGTGACAGTACGGTTGCTGAGATATGGTTTGAGTTGAAACTTAACTGCATCACTGTAAAGACCAGTCTCTATAGAGCGGAGAAATTTTCTTTGAATTAGTTGAGGACTGAACTGCTCACCTTCTTCGCTTGCATCATCATCGCTGAATTTTCTCATTAGCTTCTCTTTCAGTTCTATTGCTCTGAATAAGAAATTCTGTGCTGACTCCCTTGGGTCTTGTGTCATGTTCATCAGACGATGCAGCAGGTCAGAGGAAGAATCCACTTTGTAATGCCCCTTAAGTATGGTTTTGAGGGTGGGTAATGTCAGTCCTCGCTTTATTTCCAACATTTCCCGCAGATGAAGACCTGGGCTCACAGCACGTGTGACTGCTTCAATAATCTTTGCTTCTCCATGTCCTTTCTGTAGTGCCGACTCGATCTGGTTTATGAGGCTGGTGTAGGACAATTTTTCTTTCTGGCCCGCTTCACCGATCTGTCCCATTATCCGAAACTCCCGCCTCAGCGTGACCTCAGGCAGCCTGGTTGGTGTGGTGATGGCAGACTTTGTGTCTACATCCTTTGTAGTAATGGGGACCGATGCAGTGTGTCCTCCTGCTGCTTGCATCCTCTGCTTCATTTTTTCCTCCAACGCCCCAATTTCCTCTTCCATCTGTTGCTGTAATTTCTGGTACTGCATTTTCAACTCCTCTAGCTCCCCTTTCTCCTGAACTACGGTCTCAGCCTCAGTTTCTTCCAGTGTTGGATTCAGAGAGGAAAGATCGGACAGTAATTGCTGGAGATACTTCTGATATGAATCTGTGGACTCTTCACCCTCTTCAATTTCATCTAATGTCTTCTCCACCAACCTGATTAGGGTGCGTCTTGTTTTGCTGGCAAAACCCCCAACAGGTGCGTTACACTTTAGATGTTCACATAGGTGAATGAGCTCCTTCTCCCCCAGCGTCAGCAATCTCCTGCTCACCTCGTCCCTTGCTTCCTCCATGATGCTGCTTTGATTGGTCCGGCTTTCTTTCTATGCGATTAGGCCCTGGGCTGAACCAACCATCCTCTGCTACCAAAATATGTAGCGTGGTACTGAATGAAGCTGTCTCCACTACACATTTAATTTGAAATTCCGCTTTATTTTTCTTCTGCAAAGAGCCAAAAATGTTGATATTAGAATCAGAGTTCGCCACACACGTATATCAGCTTCACAGTTTATACGTGTCCTCATTCTCTGAATGACCGAGAACACACAGTGTCATTTAGAACTTCTCCACCAACATATTCACAATAAACCATAGCTTCTGCATATTTTCTAAACACAGAAAAATCATGAACTTCTGCAACAAAATATAAACAATGAATCATATCCTTACCATCTATTATAATCAGAAAAATCATAAACTTCTGCACCAAAATATAAACAATAAATCATGTTCTCAGCTAATATTAAACAAAAGTTTATCCTTCTATAGCATATTTTCTCAAATACAGTCAACCAATCATATTTAACAAACATTGTAAACTGATTCAGATATCTGTTAATTAGATAAATCATGCCTTACTTTAGATTATTTACTCAGCTTGACAAACTACTCCCGAGCAGAGAGTTATTGTTTCCTCTCCAGCCTCGCGCTCACTCACGGTAGCTAGCAACCCATGCTAACTATAAGCTAACTTCTTTCAGATGGCTGAACAATATCAACAACAACGCCACAAATCAGCTGAGATCATTAACTCACATCGGACATATTCGCAAATCAACTCACAGTTTCCACCCTCCCTTCTTACCTGCAAAGAGCCAAAAATGTTGATATTAGAATCAGAGTTCGCCACACACGTATATCAGCTTCACAGTTTATACGTGTCCTCATTCTCTGAATGACCGAGAACACACAGTGTGGCGAACGCGCCCTCTGCTGGTCAGGGGTCGACAGTGACTTCTGTTCAATAACTAATTTCGAAATAACAAAATCACCTGTACTTATTAGAAAATAAATCCACCACAATTTGAACATAAACAGTGGTACATTTATATCAGATTTAACATGTTTTTGATTATGGGGTGGATATTTTAACCTACTGATGGCTCTGTATGCCACAATGGCAACAATGAGAATGTGCAATAATAATAATAATAACAATAACAAATAACAACAATTTTGATACCAATACTCTGCCACCGAGCCCTGTGCTCTGATACCTTACCCATTTGTCAACCTCGGGGGATAAGCTTCAGTGCCACAATAGCATGAAGGTACCACTACATTTCCTTATCTCATAATGCTCCATGTGTTGGTCTCTGTCTATGATCATAAAAATCTCCTCACCTCAGTACGCAGAACGGTTGGATTGGTAGCTACTTCAGGGATGTTTTACATATTTTGTTTAATTGTGTTTTTAATTCCAATCTCTATCTGTTTTTCAATTTTTCAAAATAAGTGAGGAAGAGATGTTCAAAAAAATTTTACAGTTGCAGCATTTGCATATTATATTGCATATAATTATTTTAGTTTAATTTCAACAGTTAAGTCAAGAGTTTTTAACCAAAATATGTTTGACTTGGGGCTGCACAGTGACAGAATGAGTAGCACTGCTGCCTTCCAGCAATAAGGTTCCTTGCTCGATTCCCAGTCCGGGGTCTTTCTACATGGAGTTTGCATGCTCCCTCTGTACATGCATGTGTTCTTTCCAGGTACTACAGCTTCCTCCCACAATCCTAAATAAACATGACTGTTTATTTAAGTCAGAATGTCTTTAGAGAGGGTGCACACATGACATGTCTGATAATATTCTGCACATCCTAAAGGCAGCAATAATTTGTACCAGTAGTATGTGCATAGCAGACATGACATTGTAGAGAAGAGAGAAGGCTTTCTCTGTTAGTGTGAACACCTTTAAAATTTCAGAAGAAGAAATGTACCAGGACCTATTGCCTAAAACAATTTACTTCTAAGTCATTCACTACAACTTCGTTTTATCAAGTTTCAAGCTGCTTATTTATATTTGCATTGGAGCTTTAGGCATGGAAGACCCTGGTCTTAAGCCCTAAGTACATTTCCCAGGACATGCACTTGAGGAAAGATTTGCAACTGCATTGAGTAAATCCCGATGACAATCATTTAAATCATTATTTATAAATAGTGTTTCTCAGTACAGCATAATTGGTTTGTTTGAAAATGTTTGACATCCCTTCCTATAATACCTTGGGAAGGCAAGGTTTTCTGATGTCTTTCCACACCAGAGCCATGCTAACTCACACTTGTGTGCTTCGGAGCAGCCAACTGTAAACAAACCCCCAGTTGTATAAAGGTGCATAGGCAGCAAAAACATTCTGGGTTCAATTCCCATCCCAGGGTCTTTCTGCGGGAAAGCAGAAAGACTCATGTTCTCCCTGAGCATGCGTGGGTTCTCTCAGGGTACTCCGGCTTCCCCCCACAGTCCAAAAAACATTAGTGATAGGCTAACTGGCTACACAAAATTCTGCTTAGTTGTGAGTGTGTGCGTGAATTGTTGTTTTTCCTGTTTGTCTCTGTGTTGCCCTGCGATGGACTGGCGACCTGTTTAAGGTGTCCCCACCTCCGGCCCATAGCCAGCTGGAGATAGACACCAGCAACCCTCGTGACCCGGCTTTGGACAAGCGTGACGGAAAATGGATGGATTAGCATCTCTATGATTATTACTCATTCATTCATCTTCTGCTGCTTATCTGTCAGGGTTGCAGGGGCTTGTGCTTATCTCCAGCATAGTATGGGCAAAGGCAGAGAACATGCTGGACCGGTTGCCAGTTATTTTTAGCATTTTCTTTATTTTTTTTTAGAATGTCTATTCTACCATGTTGGGGTATGGTTTATTAATTACATAAATATGTATTACTGCGTCAATATGTCAAAAATATGCCATTGGAAGCAATAAATACATTTGCACAAATACATTTATGATTTGTATGTTTTTTTTTTTTTTTTAAGCAAGATATATTGCCATACAAATAAAACATGTTATCCACAACAATATGGGTTTGCCTTTCTTATCGTAGTTAAATTTGATGTTTTTCTACATAGTAAATTTGTTTCTTCCAGAGTAAACAGGAATATGGTCACTGGATATGTATGCATCAAAACTGCCTGAATTCCAGTGTTTATGATGACTTTCTCTCATTTTCTCTGATGATCAACCACTGTCAGTAGAATAGGTTGGCACAGGTTCTTAATATTTTGGATTGGCCTTTTGTCCACTTGAGTATGGTTCTTGAATAAACACTGCTTGATCATGTTTAAAGGCACAGTTTAGCATTTTTTGTGATTGTTGGTCATTTTGTACCCAAAGGAGCCAGATGGACATTTTGTCGACACTCACTAAATTTGACCAGAGATGTAATATTTATTTAAGCAAGTCAATAATATATAAACTGATGGAAATAACCTAATTTCTCTGCAATGTTTAATACTTCTCTATATTGAACGCATGGGATTAGCAAGATGTTGCTGTGGGGAAACAGGACAAAGCCTATGGGTAGAAAGATGCAGCTCAGTTACAGGGTTAAGACTGCAACTCCAAGTTCAGCTTAGGTCATCCTTTTAGTCTATTTACTCTAACAGGATCCAAATCACCATATACAATACCATCCTAAACTTTCTAATACTGGTTTAAACCACAATGCTTATGATTGAAATGTTGAAATCAATTCGGAACAACCATAAAATCCACTTAATCAATTTGTGAAATATGCCAGTGAGCTCTAGTGCACATTTTAACAAGTGTTTATAGAGATGCAGTGCTTTTATGTTGTTTTATATTAAATACACTCTAAGACAGCAGATAAAACAAATCACCAAGGTTAGTGTGGGCCATGAATTATGGAGCTGTGACCACAAAGATGTTCCAAAGTGAAGTCATGTTTTGTTTTTGGGCAAGCTTTGCTGCTTTTTAACAATCACTGCCTCGCTTTTTAGAGCATGACAGCCAGAAAAAATGCCTTAAGTACAGTGTACAAGAAGACTCCTTGTACAAAATGGTATTGAATCAGTCTCAAACTGGGCAGCCCACAGGAGGCAAGGAGCACAAAGCATTTCTTTTTTGTAAAAAAAAAATGAACTTTACTACTGGGCTTAATGGATGTTTCCCAGTGACTTCTTGAGCTGGGTATACATTTCCATTTGAAGCCTTGAAACTTTGCAGCATTCATTCTCTAATTCTTCAAAAACAAATTTCTTACTTAATGTTGCTGGAGAAGCTTAAAATGGTTATAGAATTATTATATAAGGTATTTGTTGCTGGTCCTTAAGGTCTCTGAACAGGGCGTGTAACATTGGTTGGGCTGAAAATGGCATATTTGCTGTTCTATGCACCCTAATGCAAGCCTGGTTAACAGTGGAAGATAAAGTAAATAAATTATTCAACTTCACAAATTGTATCAGGAAAAGTGAAAAATATACAATAATATTTAAAAGAAGCTTTTTGATGGTGTTAAAGGTCCAACCTTCTTCCCTTAAGGTATAGGGGCTGGTCATGAGGTCACGAGTGATGCTTTGTTCATTTACATAGTGGAGAGAGAGCTCATGCTCACTTAGAGTTTGACCAAGGGGCAAATATTCAGCTCCCAACTTACAGACAGTCATACGTCTATTTCAGTGGTAAAGTGCAGTCAGCAAGCTGTACTTTTTTGTGTCTGCTTTCAGAAAAAAAGGCATTTTCTCCTCTGTTCATCTTCCTCCTCTTGACATTCTTGATAAATGGAGAAAGGCCTGAACAAATGCTTGATGTTTTCCAAAAACAAGCCAACATAGAAAATAACTAGCTATCTATATGTTGTGGATGAGAGACATCAGCTATGGTAGAGAGGGTATCCATGGGTTACAGAAGTATGTTGTTGAGATTTTACATGCTTAGGGACTTCTAGGTAAATATTAGCAGTAAATGTACTTAAGGTATCTGATATAGTTAAGCCTGCTGTGGTTATTATTTAAAAAAGTTGTAAATTCTGTTCACCAGATGAATGTAACAGTTCAAGTGAGTCATAAATAATACCAAACTAGAATGAAATAAAGCATACCTATCTAGACTTTCTTATGAATAACCAAAACCAACCCCCCCCAAACTAGCCCCCCACTTTCAGCAGAAGTGTTGACTGCTGGGCCACAGACTGGACTCAGCAGAGAGCCATGAGCCTCCCTTCCTCTGCCGGAGAGGGGGGCTGGTAAGGCAGGTGCGGGGAAGCACGGGGCTGCCTATCACCGAGTCAGGTTCGATCGCTCCGTCCCCCACTGGCTTCCTGCCCCCATCTGCTGGCGTTCCCGGACCAGCCCCGGAGCTGACGGCTCGGTTTGAATGGCCGGTGTGTTTTGACTATGTGCTGCACAGTTCTCAACCAAAATCCCGTACAATTTTTAAATTCTCCCTGGACAGTTCTTTAGGTATGAAAAGTAGGACGTCTGGTCACCTTACCATATCAACAATTTCAATGATTTAGTGAATGAGTGCTTGTTGCTATGATGCGTCTTTGCTCGGCAACTTGGCTCTTTGTACACCAACCAATCAGCACCCAGCTCATCTAAATATTCATGAGCATACCATAAGCGGAAGAAAACCTGTTGTTTCATTCTAGAGGGTTAGGGTTAGAATGAAACAACAGGTTTTCTTCCGTTTATGGTATGATCAGAGAAAGGAGATGTTGGTGGGGTTTGGACTTCTCTGTACGTCCATTTCACCCACTGAACTATCGTTATTCATCTATGACAAGGTAAACTCGGTTTTGCATTCTATGTCCCCTTTAAGAGAAGCAGGTCTCTTCAGGTTCCTTTCAATTCGCTCTTGCAGCTCAAGGTCTCTGTCCTTGGTGCTGATTGTGGGGCTGCCAGCAGTGCAGGACCTGTTCAAAGTGTTTGAGATGGTTTATGCTGACTGTAATGTCTGCTGAAAGTGGGGGGCTAGTTTGGGGGGGTTGGTTTTGGTTATTCATAAGAAAGTCTAGATAGGTATGCTTTATTTCATTCTAGTTTGGTATTATTTATGACTCACTTGAACTGTTACATTCATCTGGTGAACAGAATTTACAACTTTTTTAAATAATAACCACAGCAGGCTTGACTATATCAGA